AATCCTTCAACGCGCTTCGGCGGTTATTATTATCACCTCCAATTCTACGACATTTTGACCCTGATGCGCCTACGGAGGTCCACACCGACGCCAGTGGTGTCGGTCTTGGTGCTGTATTGGCTCAACGAAAACCAGGGCACCAAGAATACGTGGTCGCTTACGCGAGTCGAACCCTCAAGAAAGCCGAGTGTAATTATTCCGTCACGGAGAAAGAGTGCCTCGCAATTGTCTGGGCTTTGACGAAGTTCCGCCCATACCTTTATGGCCGCCCTTTCGAAGTCGTTACGGACCACCACGCTCTATGCTGGCTATCATCGCTCAAAGACCCGTCGGGGCGCCTTGGTCGTTGGGCGCTTCGCCTACAGGAATACGACATTCGTGTTGTATACCGATCCGGCCGCAAGCACTCCGACGCTGATGCGCTATCCCGCTCGCCGCTACCGGCTGACCCAACCTCCTCGTCACCTTCTTCAGCTGTCATAACACCAATCGACTTCACAGACATGGCATCGGAACAACGCAAAGATGTGTGGATTTCCCAACTCCTCGCCTTTTTGACAGATCCGTTAGCTAATTTAGTGTCAAGAACTATCCGCCGTCAAGCCACACATTTCGCTATTCGAGACGACCTACTCTATCGGCGGAATTACACGTCTGAAGGTAGGAAGTGGCTGTTAGTGATACCCAACCACATGCGCTCGGAAATCTGTACTGCTTTCCACAACGACCCGCAAAGCGCTCACGCTGGCGCTCTCAAAACGTACAACCGTCTACGTCAGCGGTACTACTGGCGCGGCATGTACACATTTGTCCGCAAGTACGTACGTGCTTGTACTGCATGCCAGCGACGTAAAGTCCCACCTCAACGCCCTGCCGGTACACTTCAGCCTCTGCCTTGTCCAGCGCGTCCGTTTGACCGCGTTGGTATCGACTTATACGGACCACTTCCCACGTCGTCTTCTGGAAATAGGTGGATAATTGTCGGCGTGGACCACCTCACGCGTTACGCGGAGACAGCAGCACTACCCGCAGCAACCGCGAGGGAAGTTGCGTTTTTCATCTTGCGCAACTTTGTTCTTCGCCATGGTGCTCCCCGCGAACTTTTGAGCGACCGGGGGCGTGTTTTCTTGTCTGACGCCATTCAAGCGTTGCTCGCCCAGTGCAACATGGTTCATCGCCTGACGACAGCATATCACCCGCAGACGAATGGCCTCACAGAACGATTTAATCGCACTCTTGGTGATATGTTGACGATGTACACAGCTTCAGACCAGACTAATTGGGACACTGTCCTTCCATTCGTCACGTATGCGTATAACACCGCTACGCACGCGACAACAGGATTCTCCCCTTTCTTTCTGTTGTACGGACGCGAACCATCGTGCACGCTAGACACTATCCTCCCATACACGCCTGACTCCTCTGAGTACACTGCAATTTCTGATGATGCCAGGTACGCAGAAGATTGCAGACGATTGGCCCGTTCTCTGACAACCGAGGACCAAGGCCACCAGAAGCTACGGCTTGACACCGGCCGACATCTCTCTACTTTCACGACTGGTGCTCTCGTTTGGCTCTGGGTTCCACCGAGCACTCCTGGCCTTTCGTCGAAATTACTGGCACGATACCACGGGCCTTACCGCATTCTCGCCCGTACGTCACCCGTCAATTATGAGATTGAGCCATTGACACAGTCTCATGACTTACGCCGTCGTGGCCGAGAAATTGTGCATGTGAGTCGCCTGAAGCCGTATTACGACCCCGCTATAGTGACTACGCCTTAAGTCGCCAGGTTGGCTACGCTATTCACCGGGGGCCAATGTAGGGATCTATGCGAAGGACGAAGAAGCAGCATGAAACGGCAAGCCACAGCGTCGGTGCACGCGCGACCCGAGCTTGCGTTTGTTTTGTATTTTCGGCCTGTTGGCGTTCCTCGCTCTTCTGGCGTTCCTCGGCCTTCCAGTAGGTCTGTACGTGAATAAACTGCGTGACATTTTTTTTTTTTTGAGGGGGTGTGGTGTGCAGCAGAACGCCTAACTTTGGCAGTCGGTGGTCGCTGTGAATACCTGCAACTGTTTTAGTGCACCCTGAAAAGTTAAAAAACCAAAACATTTCGTGGTGTAGGGGGTTCAGATTCCCTTCCTCTACCCTCTTTCCTTGTGGCTTTCTGGCTCTGCGTGCGTGTGACACATTTGTCTTTTTAATCTCACAGCTTTCGGAGCACAGCTAGCTTCCAATAAATCATCTCAATTATTCTGAATATTGTAGACGCCTAACCAACGAAGAAAGAATTAAGAGAGACGAAATCAGTATAAGACACACCCTTTCTGAATTATTTTCGATCTCTCACAAGGAATATTATGGAGCTCAAATTCAGTAGATGACCGTATCATACTTCAAGGGCTATGGCATCATGTGCTAGGCATGAATGATGGTCAGGTGTGAAGAAATCTGCATCAAGAAATTGCGACGGAGGAGCCGAAGCGCATAGCAGTTCCTGCACGCGGTGCGCGGCTCTTTTAGTACTATTCGACTGCAGCGCCGCCGCTGCGGGCAATGCGGAAGGGATCAGGTGGTCACGCCACTCAACACTTTTAGTAAACTCTATCAACGTGTGGCAGCTTGGGCTAGTTGGTATGGCATGACGATAGCTATAGCGCGAGAAGAAAACGACGACACAGAGCTCGTGTCTTTCGTGTCCTTGTCTCTGTGTCGTCGTTTTGTTCTCGCGCTATAACTATCGTCTATCAACGTCTCGCGCTTCCCGTCTTGCCCTTTGCGGCCCTAATCGCGCTCCCCTTCCTTTGCCCCTTGCACGGTGCTGCCGTCGGCGACGAGGAATCGAAAAGGCGTGTAATGTCTTCTTCACCGAACGACAGATGGCAGCACGCTGGCTGCAGTGCCTCCGCAACGCATTTTGTTTTTGTTTTTTTCTTTCTTAGTTGTTTAAGCTTAAAGCCTGTGGACCTATGTGGACCGTATCGTTTCGTAACAAAACAGATAGACAGAAAGAAGGAGAATGAAAGAGACAGAGAAAAGAGATGATAAGAGAGAGAAGAAAAAGCGCGAAGGAAAACGGCGTTCACCCTTGGACATAGGGCCCTCCAATTTCACGTCTTGGTGAACCCGTTACTGTCGTTTTCCTGCTAGTTGTATATTTTGTCATTGCTGGAAACGTGACACATGGGAGATTACGAAGCTTACGTTGTTGATGCGCTGGTGATTTCATCTAGGGTCAACCGTTCGCGTGCGACTCTTTTTTTTTTTTTCGAAATGATTATCTCGAGATTTTTTTCCTGAACTCTTCAAAAATCGTCCTTTGACTGTAAGGATTAAAGCCATAATTAAAAAAGGATCCACTAACACATTCGTTGTTCACGCGAATACTTGATTTTTACCCGGCACAATGCGGCAGTATATAAAGATCCGCTAACCTGCTCCGCCTTAGGAGTTTTGCTGGGATGCAAAGTCAATAAAAAAGAACGTCTAACCGGCTGAACAGAGAAAGAAGTCACTACGGTTTGATGATGATGGTAATAATAATAAGCACTTAGTTTAGAGTTTATATTATTATTATTATTATTATTATTATTATTATTATTATTATTATTATTATTATTATTATTATTATTATTATTATTATTATTATTGGTTGGGCCGCTATGATAATTAATAATATTTAGTTTGGATTGACAAGGACGCAGAAGAAACAAAGATGGTACAAGCTCACAATGGTTTTATCAAGGAACGAAGGGCACTGCCTTAGAGTGCTTTAACAATTACAAGTCATATCACGCCAGGCCACAGTTAAGGTTTCACTTAACCTTAACGCTACACTTTTTAGATGAGTGACTGTTTTTCGTCGTCCGCTGATAGCACGCCTACTGAACATTCCGCTTTTGTTGCTTAGGTCGCGCAGCAGCCGATTGGGAAACTGCGCCGCAATTGCTATACTGTATTATTGATTCACGACCGCAGTCGGCAGTGATCGCAAGTGCGGCTAAATGCTCGGCACGATTGCCAGCCTTTTAGAGAACAATGAAAATGTTGCTCTCTTTGCCGTCGTGACAAGATAATTGAATGACGTCGACGTCCTAGTTGGGCTTGTCTTCGGAGATCGGCTACAGCCAGGGCAGAACAGAGCTCAGAGAGGCGTATAGTGCACAAGCCCATACTCCGTCTGTCCCGTTAATTTTTTTTTTTTTCGTGTGAGGACGTTGCTTTTCCGTGCCGTCACTTACGGAAGGCGAGGCGTACAGTGCACCTGCTGCTGCAACTAAGTGGTAAGACCAGGAAAAGATGAAAATTTCTAGTGCTGACGTAAGCCAATGATAGGTGGGGTTACGTGGGTGAGCGGGAAAACGTCGCTTTCGCAATGTTCTCTTGTTAGAGGGTTCATGAGGATTTATTGTACGAGGCTTTACGTGAACGAAATCAAAAGGTGGCGCATGGGTCGACTTCGTTGAGACACGTTGTGGGAGCAGTTGAGAAAGTATGAACACGACTGCGAATGTGCCCCGATTTCCCAAGTTATCGCGGTGCTGATGCTATTGCGATAGAAGAAAGTGCGCGAGCTTGTTCTAGTTTGATTTTGTGTAATAATTATTTTCAGATCCTTTGCTTCATCGTCATTCTATTTACCTATTTGCCTACTTTAGTGTGGTTGAGTGAACCAAAAACTACTATCAAAATAAACTCCATGCCTTTCCTTTGTTATCTCTTTCTCTCTATCACTCACACATGAAAAAAAGTGTGGCTTCCATTCTGTTTTCTTTTTTTTTGTTCACGTATCATGTTAATAAATGTTAGTTGGAAGTAGGCACTTTGTGCTCGTGTCACTTTAGTGCTGTTTACATAAAATATTGAGCGTTCGTCCTTTAATTGAACTCATGCCATTCTGATTCACAACACCGCATCATCGAAAGATATCTTATGACTTGTCTCGCGTTTTTGGGGGCACTAATTTTATCTGTGTTGTTCCTTTTTTTCTCTTTACGCAGCTGAGTGGTCGGCAGTGGGAACAAATCAGCGAATACGGCAAGGACGTCATCCAGCGAATGCTTTGCATAGACCCCAGGGAACGTTACACTGTCCAGGAACTGCTCAACCACCCTTGGCTCAGGGTAGGAGTATATTTTCCAGCACCATCGCCTGCCATACTTTGAGATGGAGGACGTACCGGTAGAATAAAGAGCAGGTATTATTGCGATAGCATTATATGGACAGTTCTGGCTGTTTTTTGTTTTCGTCGCCACCGCCGCCGCCGTCATTTACGATATATGTATACACATTGATATATATGAACACTCCAGAAAGAAAGAGGTCACAGCTTTGCCGCAAAGGCGTAACAATGAACGCGATAGCAACAAATTGTAAGGTCACGCGCAGAATGGCAACCAGATTGAAACATGCTCTGCGTGTCTCACGCACAAACGACGTACGAAACGTTCTCACAGACACAAATGAACACGAATAAGCGTCTCATTTGTTACTTCGATGTATCTGAAAAGTGCGCAATTTTCGCAATCAGAGACACTGCAATGATTGGAGTGAGTTTAGTGTGCCCTGTCCCCAGAACAGAGTCGTTCCGGTGAAAGTTCAAGGCCAGCCAAGGTGTACGATTGTCCCCACCTCGAGATAAGCGCACGCGTGGGAGATGAGAGTCAAGCCGCCACGTCGTGGTGATGTGCCGACGCGCACTCATTGCGCCATCTTGCTGGTAATGCTGAACACACGATAGTTCGCCCCGAGATGCCCGTCACGAATGGTAAGTGGTAGATCTAAATAGCTAGCCGTTTGAACAGTGAAGGAGATGCTGCTCCTTGGCTCAGTGGCTAACGCCTCACACTCGCGACTCATAGGCCCCAAGTTCGATTCCGCGCGCCGGAGTCATTTTCTAGATGATCTTCTTTTCTTGCGTTTTTTCTTGCGTAACAATATATATAGATACGTATACATATACGGTGAGGCACGGCGACGCAGATGACAAAATCCAGCCGAAAGTGTCCATATAATTGCTATCGCAAAGAAAAGCCGCCCGTGCCCCGCCGTGGTGGTCTAGTGGCTAAGGTACTCGGCTCCTGACCCGCAGGTCGCGGGATCGAATCCCGGCTGCAGTGGCTGCATTTCCAATGGAGGTGGGAATGTTGTAGGCCCGTGTGCTCAGATTTGGGTGCACGTTAAAGAACCCCTGGTGGTCGAAATCTCTGGAGCCCTCCACTACGGCGCGTCTCATAATCATATGGTGGTTTTGTGGCGTTAAACCCCACATATCAATCAAGCAGAAGCCACCCGTGCACCGCGCTCAGCCCGTCGCAATGCGCTGACACGCGCTTATCACTCACGCGTATACCTTGCCCCGAAGATGAGGGGGGCGAAGGGGGAGGGCTTAGGTGCTCGTGCACACGCGCTTTGGTGGGGAGAATCTTGTGCCTTCGGCCTTCACATTAACGACTGCGTTAGTTGTCGGGCCCACAAAGTTCACCTCGGTGTTCTCACAGGCCCCGTTTGCGAAAAGAGCGTGCTTTCCTTACACAGCGGGGAATAACAACTGTGATATTTATCAGTTTGCTCTCATCTGTACCTCTCATTACGTTTTGTGCGTCGTTTTTGTTTAAACAACGCGTTACATGTCGAGCGGTAAACTTTGTTAGTTTGCTCTCGTGCTGTGTGTCTTGTTTTCGTGCGCAATTTGTGCGCGAACAGCGCGCTGCACGTTTTGATCTGCTTGCCGTTGTCAGCGTGACACTCCAAGTTGTTGCTGTCACATTCATTGATTTGACGTCTCGGTGAAACTGTGACTTTTTTTTTTACCACGCCATCTGAATAAAAACAAATCATAATGTTTTTAATGAAACGTAATTATAAAGAATGCGTACAAAATATTTGGAACATGTGTCTACGTTGCTCGTACCTAGTCTTGTACAAAAAGTACGTAGAAGTTAGCAACACACGTCACTGGTCAAGGGATTATTGGTTTTATGTTATGCGAATTTTGACGATGTACAAGCTTGTTTGCGATGGACACGCGAGTAGAATTCACTAGACGAGAGAAAAACTTCAAGCAAGATTTTTATTTCCAGAGGCCCAGTGTTCAGATTACAGCTCCGAACAATGAGTTGGGTGTGATGCGTGACACGGGAGATGCAATATTCTCTTATTAGGATGATAGCGAAGGACACAGGATAGAAGAGAGGCACATGAAGACGCTTGGATGCAGCAATGTTTCTTCGTGCTGCCTAGTAACTAAAGTTTTTCAACGTAAGTCGTGATGTAAGAATTTAAGGAGTATGACACTTAGAAAATATGATTGAGTGCATTGTATCTACATTATTATGAGTGCAAAAAAGCTTAACCGACAGGAGGAGACAGGAAACACAGCGCTGATCACTGCTCCGCTGTCCTTTCTTTTATACTCTCCTGTCGGTCTCGCGGACTTTCACTCTTAATCAAGGAGTAATATGTTCACTGTGCAGTCAGTATGGAAGTTAAAACAAATGGCCTTCAAATATTAGCTGGCATTTTTCGGCTTCGAAAATGAATGGGAAAGTATGAATGGGCATTAGGTCGTGTGATGTCACGTGCTGTTATCTCAAGCGACAAGTAAAAGTTGCCATTATGGAAGACAACATCCGTATAATGACCACATACATATGAACATGATTTTGTATTGCGCCTGTCTGAATGCTTGTTCGGTCAATATCAATAAAAAACAAAAATGAAGCTTTTCACAGTGCTTCTTTCTGTTCGCATGCTGTTGAACCCGCTGCTCAAATTTTTTTTATTTTTCGCATTGAAAATTACCCTATAGATTCTCGAATAATATTTTATACTTTGACGGTGAGTAAGTAGACAATCCTTACTGAATCTTCAGAGAAAATCTCTATGACGCATATTTTCCTTCACACACTTATGGATCCTTTTCTTAAACTGAATTGCAGGTTACTCAATCACTCCAGGGAGCACGCGAATATTATGTGTGAATAACCTCAACTAACTATCGCACTATAGATGCGGATGCCGGAAGAGTCTTTAACCATAGCAGGTTCACTGTTTAGGTTTTGAAGTTACTGTTTACAAAAACATTATCGTTCATTCCAAGACATATACAGGAGTCTCGTGAAGCTTCTTTTGCTGTAGCTTTTTGTTTTTGTACAACATTTTTTTCCGTTCCTCTTAAGAAGTACAAATGATGAAGATTACGAGGATTCTAATCAGATTCATTTCACACATTCAATTGGTTTGTGATCATGCATATGGTAGTACCAACACCAGCAGGAAGCATGGCGTGAATAGCTTTTTGTGAATCTTGAGTTAGTTCCAGTAGCGTGACACAATAGTACTTTCTCAGGACATTTTAATACCTTCTAGAAGCGGTTATAGTTGTTTTGACATGAACTAAAACGCCCTGGTAACGTACCAGCTTTCGGGCGCAGTACTGAAGCTTTACCAGAGCGTTCCTGTGGGTTTTTATTACACGGAACTTTGAGCCGATTTTTCCAAATATCTCACTCATAAGGCGTGACTTTTTTTTTCTAGCAGGGAGTTGCGGGGTCCGCAGTGAAGTGGCGTCAGTTGCGCGTACCTATTATAATCTCTGATACTGAATGTATTCGAATCATTTCACACCTTCATTATCTCTGGTTCTCCACCAGGATCGGGATCACTGTGCACCAAGGGCACACCTCCAGGAAACGGTGGACGAACTAAGGAAATTCAATGCCAGGAGAAAGCTTAAGGTGAGCACTGCGACGCTAGATTTACGCGATGAAAGTAACACTCGTGATGGCAAGACCAGATAACAATGGCTAAATTGGTTGGCCTAATGTGCCCTTTTGTTCTCACTAATTTTTAGTTTTCTCACAAACGTTTGGTCAAATCCAGGAAACGCTATTCAGCTGTAAGTAATTATTAATTAGTGTCGTTGTACATATCCGTTTACTCAATTACCCATTTCTTCAATTAACTTGGTCTTCCATAATTAACTTAGTATTTCAATGAAATGATGGATTCTATATATATTAGTATTGGTTATGCTCTCGGTTGGCTTACAAGCCGAGTCAGACATATACCGCTGTCGTAGTGCTCCTGTTGTTTGTCCGCAGGACACGCTAAGTGAGGCGCATAACTGCAACGACTTTCGGGATATGCTCATGAATGCTTCGGGCGACTCGATTCTTGTTGGATTCATGAGCATGCACTCCTTGACGCGGCAGATATACTGATATTGATATGTCGCCCATGAAGCAAGGATCAAGAGGTGAAACATGTAGGTCTAACGTCTCTTATAGTCCCCAAATATAGAATACATAAATAACAATCTTGTTGCAAAACAGGAGTAATTCTTGGTTTAGAAGCCAGACTTCGTGAAACCTCGAAACGGTGTACCTTTAAGAAAGTGCTGTGAAGGTTGCTGCCGAGTTACCCAACAGTTTTTCAGCCAAAAAAAAAAAAAAACTTTACTAGTTCATAACTGTGAAGCCAAATGACGCGTGCTTTAAACTCTTAATCACTACATTCCACTTGACACAATCTAATATCATTCTGAGCGCAACGCCTTCTCTTTCCAATAGGATTACTTGTCATGTAACGATAACTTCATTGAATTTTTTTTCGTGCTCTTTGTCTCTACGTCATTCAAATTGGGCGGAAAACTGTGTTTCCTGCCACCTTTGCTAATCGCCCTTTCTTTTCTTCTTCTTCTTTTCTTACAGGGTGCTGTTCTAGCCGCTGTGTCCTCCCCAAAATGGACTAGTTTCTACAGTGACCCAGCGTCAGACGCAAGTTTAGACCAAGGCATTGAGCAAGAAGTGACTGCCATAGGTGAGTTGGTGGCTTCAGTTTTTGTGAAGTATCGCGAAGAGCTTTGTCGGTATGCAACTGGGAAACCAGTCGTACAAACTCTTCGTGCTAAATCTGATAATTTTGCGCATGAGTTCGGTACCTGCTGTGGACAATAATATTGATTTAATCCAAGTATTTCAACAATTTATCAAAAACACTGGTTACGCAAGATAAAAAGCTATGATGATTGACTTGTTTCTGATGTCTTGGGGGGCCATTTTTTTGTTTGACATGCTAATTCCAATACACACTCCATACCGCCACAAAAAATTTCAGTGAATTCATTTTCTGTTGATGAAACCCAATATTATTATTTCAGGTTAATTATAAGAAGCAATTAGTTGCAAATCCTCAGCTATTAGGTAGCTTCGTAAAATTCATTCACGTAATCGTTGCTTAAGTCCGCACAGTTGCGTTTTACTTAGTTTACTAGTTTGATGGTTCATGATAGAGTGATATTGGCTTAAATATTTCCAAAACAATAGGGTTGAGGTTCAAATTTATATGAACCCTATTAACATTTAAAGGCACAATACTGCTGCCAACTTACCAACGGCCTCCAATTATATGTTTACTGCCCTTATTGATGAGTATAGCACAGATTACCCTTATAAGAACATGTTACCATTCTTTTCACGTCATTTTGAAACTAATATTCTCTTTCTAAAAATTGCTTGAGCAGCATAATGGCGACAGTACATGCCCTATCACATGTACTCTGAGTATACTTATCATCAATTACAGATCGATAAATCAGGGATTTACTGATGTCGCATACATCGACAGAGGTCAGCGATAAGAAGCGAGAACTGCATGTGGCTGGATTCGCGCAAAAACAGAAACATTATGCCTATGTTATAGATGTCGTATTGAGGGCTTTGACACGGAAATAAGAGGTTCTGTCTGTAGACAGCAGATTCACATGCTTGTTGTAGGGTGCCTTCAGATTTTTAAAACAGTTTTGGCATTATTAATAATTCGCTCTGCGCAGCAAAGAAATATGCATGTGCCCATAAGCCTTGCTCTTGTATGAACAAAAAATGATGCTTATAATACTGTTATTATATGCCTCACTAACCAAACCACGTGCTAAGCGAGCACTTTCGTTCCGATATTTTGTGCCGCACAGTTGCTCCAGGCTTGCTATGTGTTGGTATTCTTGAGGAGAATGACGAGTAGGGATCTATGTTAAGGTGGGGCGCTCAACCACATTCACGTTCCATATGGTACCCTACACTGGCAAAAGGCCCCGCCGCGGTGGCGAAGTGGCTAAGGTATTCGGCTGCTGACCCGCAGGTCGCGGGTTTGAATCCTGACTGCGGCGGCTGCATTTCCGGTGGAGGCAGAAATGTTGTAGGCCTCTGTGCTCAGATTTGGGTGCTCGTTGAAAAACCCAAGTGGTCGAAATGTCCGGAGCCCTCCACTACGGCGTCTCTCATAATCATATGGTAGTTTTGGGACGTTAAACTCCACATATCAATCAATAAATTACCCTGGTAAAAGGAACTGATGGAAAAGGAAATAGAATTACGGGCATGTAAAGAAAAAAGGAAAACGGCAGCAAGGTTTTATTCGAGGAGAACTAGTTTGCATATTCGTTACAAGCCTACAATCGATCACTAAGCCCTGCGTAATTCATAGAAAACAAAGGCCACGTCGCTTGGAACCTCTCGCGCTTTCTCTACATTTTCCTGAGAAATCAGGCATAAACTGTGCTTGAACAAAAAAAGACGGAATAGGAAAGTGATTGGAGCTCTACCGTGAGTGCGTGTTCTTCCTTTCTTTCTTTTCTTCATATTTTGGTGCGGCCTTCCTAAAAGGAGCGGTGTCCATGGTTCTGGATAGTCTGGACGACATCCACTGCCTGACCGACTGCTCGGAAAGGGACCGAGACTTCCTCCTCAGCATCCTCGAGGACTCCCAGCTGCACGCTCTACTAGACGTGAGTGGTGGACGCATGCTATTTCCTCCTCGGTTCTCTTCTTTTCAGATCAAGTCAGCGGGGTACTTCACTCTTCCATCTAAACATTCTGCATGCCCACGCACAGGTATTAAAGCCTTGCTTCAGCATTATTACCCTGTCCCTGAAAGAACTTGACATTTGCTTGATTTCGCAAATGTCACTTCCTGTCGCAAAGCACTCCTGTCGCAAAGCACTCCTGTCGCTGAGACTTCCGTCTTAGCGACAGGAGTGCTTTTTGAATAGCACTGGACCATTCGAAACACACACAAATATATATTTATAGTTTTATAAACTTGGAGGGCTGGGTATAAGTACGAGAGCGAAAGTGCCTTATCTTTCGCCCTCTCCTTCTATTTCTGTCGCACATACTTATTAGAATAGAAGCTGAAGGCTTTTTTTTTTTGTCACCTAATAGTTCACCGTCATCAATGCTTTCTGATTTCTGCTACAGCGCAAGTGAGCTCAACGAAAATTTATGGTGCAATCCGAAAAAGACCACTTCACAGCACTTTTCGAAGTGTTTAGAAGGCTTTAGAGATACCCTGCGTCAGGAATTGTGACGCCCATCCACGGTCGTTGCGATTTCAAAGTAAACACTACTTCTTTAGCACCCACTCGTTGACCAACATGTTCAATACCATAGGCAAAAAAAAGCATTTGGAATTCCAGTTGTCTCAATCATAAATAAATTTACATATATATATAAACTGTGCCATTCTAACTATCACAATGAATACAATTCAAGTAGTTTTGATCATAAGCTGTTACATGTACAGGAAAAAAATGAATATAACAAGCCTAATGTGTTAATTCATAGTAACACCATGTAGTGAAATAAAATGACAGTCTTAGAGCTTAGGGATAAGGCAACGAGAGATAGAAACGCTCAAATCACTGGTCCTAATGTAATGGCAGAGGAACATAAATTTACTGTCTCGCCAACTATAACTGGGAGAAATTCGCGAAGAAGTAAGCAGTTCAACCTATGAAAAAAACATACTTTGACTCTCATTTATATTTGACCAAGGAGAAATTGCAGAAAAGCTTGAGAGAATATGGCTTTTGTTCCTTTCCTGCATTTGAGTGGCCTGGAAAGAAAAAGAAAAAAGAAAGAAAGAACAAAATAAAGAAAGAAAGAAAGAACGAACGAAAGAAAGAAAAAAAAAGAGAGAGAGAAAAAAATGAAAGGAAGAAAGAAAGAAAGAAAGAAAGAAAGAAAGAAAGAAAGAAAGAAAGAAAGAAAGAAAGAAAGAAAGAAAGAAAGAAAGAAAGAAAGAAAGAAAGAAAGAAAGATGGTGTTGTAAGTAAGCAAAGGCGTCCTGCGGACTGATTGCAGACGTCACTCAGGAAGGCGAAGTGTTCACCGAGTTACCCAGCTAATGAACACCGCTATCGTGACAAAGAGCTGCGGTTTCTACAAATCAGTGGGCTGTCTAGCGTTGATTGCCCTTGAAGTTTTCCCGGGAAAGAACGGCAAATCGAGAGGTCATTTTTACGACCTCACTAGAACAGTGTTGCCGTTTGAACAGAGGTCAATTACTACATGTCTCGCTCGGCTTAAAATTGTGAGCTTTCTGAGGCCTTGGCTTTTTTTTGTGAGCTTCTCTTCCGACGTTCATCCCACATGCAAGTTAGGCTTCAACGTTAACGAAGGAGCAGCTATAAATCTTCGACAAAGGTTGCATAATAAATTGAATATTGACGAACATTTTTTTGAATGCCTAGTTTTAACACAACTGGGGTAAAACAAAGCAGGCAGAGAAGCAGAATAATGAAAAGCAGGGAATTTTTAAAATTTTTTTGAGCAGGCTTGCTGTTAAGGAATAATAATTTGTGGGTATACGTGCATTCGACATTTTATTTTATGAAAAATATGAGAGATATGATTTCGCGTCAATATTGCTCACATCTGAAAAGTTCCCGAGGAATAGAAACAAAGTGGATAATGAAAACGGTGTGCTTTATTCTTTAACACGCAACTGTTTTACGCCGGGGTCCACCAAGATTTCACTGACGTAATTCTGTCATTGATATGACATTGAAATGTAAATGAACAGAATACAAAAAAAAAGACGCCAGAACAAAAAGTCACGCGAATTTGGAAACCAGGGAATTGAACCAATGACCTATCAGTCCACGAAGACAGATACCGGTGCTCAATGAACTGCGCCACTGGAACATTTTCGAAGAACTCTTCGGAGGCACCTAACTTCCTTCTCCACCAGCGCTCTTGTTTTGTTTAGGTGATGCCACTGCCTACGAGCGGAGAAGTACCGCATTGTGACGCTAACGAACACCAACAGTGAGCGCTACTTGACTCAGCACTACGGTGCCTAGATGCCAGCATTCGGATAGACGCTGGCATTAGGGCGTTATGTGCTAAGCAAGTCCAAGGCCACTTAGGTGCCTTACATATCACGGTGCAGTAGGGCCTCCACAATTTGCTTCAACAAAGTTTATCGAGCTGAGAGTGGAGGCCACGAGTGGCGGCTGTAAAAACAGCGCACTCTCCGCGCTTATTTAAATTTTTCACGTTCCGCTTTTGATTAGGCCACTGATAAAACAAATCCTTGGCACCAGAGTTCAATAGAAACACCCATTATTAACGGAGCTACGAGTACCAAATAAGTACCCTCTTCTTCCGCTCCACCATTAACCCTCAACTGCCCCCGTCTGTTTTCTTCAAGCGCTCAGGGCTAAGCCCCGCCTTCACGACATACGCGTAAATCCCGCCGGCGATCCGGTACCTGCTGTTTGTGCTGCGCGTTCCACAGCCAATCATATCAGCTGGAAACGATGACGTCAGTGGGGTGGAGCGTGTCGTAGAGATCTGCAGTGATCTGGAGCAATTCGCAACTTTAAAGCATTGTAATAAATTATACACAGTTTACACAGGCAGCTCAAGTCTCTAATTTACCCTTGGGGCCTGGTCTACCGGCCCAGTGTGTTTGTAAAAAAATCGTCAAAACCGTTTCAGGGTCTCTTTAACTCGGTGACGACGCATTCAAGTGCTTCGTCTTCCGCGTTGTACTCGTATTAGTGTGAGTGACGTGATTCGTCTTTCGCTTTGGGCTAGGGTGTGCAGCGCTTCCATGCGTATCAGTGGCGTACCTCCGCCATCTACTGATTCGAGTGTGATGACACCGACTACGGGAGCTGCTGCATTACGGGCAATTGACGTGTGAACGTCACGCAAGTGAGTTTGGTACAGTGATAGACGCGCCTGTTGGGAGCGGGAGGCCTTTGCATGTCCGCGGCTAAGGCTGAGAACTCTGCCTCTCGCGTTTGTGAAGTTGAGCGTATCGCATCTGCACTGACTGCCGTACAGACACTGGAGCAGTACCGAAATGATGATATACCTTCACCGAAACGACCCACCAGCAGGACACTGCTCGCCAAGTGAACGCCACAAACTAAGCACATCTACAGGACGCTCGCCGACCTGCAAATCATGCACCCTTCCCTGCAGCGGACCTTGAGTTGACAAAATTGTTTAGGGAAAGCCAATTCGATTTCCCTTACAAGGTGTGCGATCGCCTGTGATTCGCGTATGATTTGCGCGTTTCTGCGGTGCGTGAAGTGCAGTCTCTCCGGAAACTGTATTACGTTTGTGAGTTGTTGATTGCCGCGATGGAGAAAATGAGTCGTCAGTTGTCGAAATGGGTTACCCGTGATATCGGGGCACTAAAGAATGAGGGTGATGTAGCCACTAAACACCAGCAGACATTTTATATGAATGTGTGTGTGTGTGAGAGAGAGAGAGAGAAATATTCTCAATAAAAGCTGGAGATGGTTGCCAGACATGCTAGGTGATGATTATGATGATGCTGGGTGAGGTGCTGGGTGATGATTATGAATATGAATACGCACGTGTCAATTTTTTTTCTATTTGCTTGTTAACGCCCTATTATAATGTAACTGCTACCTTACTCGAAGCGTGCCCAAGTGACTGGGAAAATGAAATACATGAAATATCTACATAATCTTGGAATCTTCCGATGAGATAACGTGCACAAAGTGAACATTGGGGCTAGTTCAGAAACTTTCGCTGCTGCTAAAGCAATAACGCTGTAATCTTCGATGATGCTTACATAAAAGCAGACGCGCTTAACTGCTTGCCAGTTTTTCGATGGCTTATGCAGTCTTCGCCAATATCAGCATGCAGTACGCACGGCTTCCTGTAGTTTAAGCCCCGCCGCGGCGGTCTAGTGGCTAAGGTACTCGGCTGCTGGCCCGCAGGTCGCGGGTTCGAATCCCGGCTGCGGCGGCTGCATTTCCGATGGGGGCGGAAATGTTGTAGGCCCGTGTGCTCAGATTTGGGTGCACGTTAAAGAACCCCAGGTGGTCGAAATTTCCGGAGCCCTCCACTACGGCGTCTCTCATAATCATATGGTGGTTTTGGGACGTTAAACCCCACATATCAATCAATCAATTCCTGTAGTTTAAGTTCCCATTTCCAGGCCACAAGTTCGGTCAAACTAAGTTTTATTTTAGACACGCTGACTGCTGTCTTCGTCAGTCAACTTCACGATCACGTGACAGTTTATATACACTGACAAGCTCATAACACATGCAGCATCACACATGTTTAGTACATTACGAAGCTTTATTTTGGCTTGTGGCCCGCAAGAAAGTCAGTAGTGCTTTCGTGGTGCGTAATTTACCAGGACTGATTTGCCATGTGTCCAGAATGTGCGATCAACATTGCATCACTTCTGTGAAGACACGTTTCATTTTCGCGTTTTAAATCAATTTGTATATCAGAGGGATCAGCCATATTTTCTTTTGAATACATCAGTGACCATCATGCTTAACTTAAGATGGTGCCAGCGCAGTCTGAAAGCTATTACTTTTACTACTTTAACTTAATACTGCGCATACGTTATTGTTTGGTTTACGATTCATTTGTTATTTGCCGCTTCTCTGAGAGTTATCATCATCAGCCTCCCACTCATGTCTCGCCGCCCCCCCCCCCCACCCCATTACTAAAGCTTCTTTTATGTTGGATTCGATTGCTCAGATTCTAAGGCAATATTTGTGCAATGTGTTTTACTGGCTACTGGACGATGTCAGCCTGGCGAAACCTCATTGTGGTTCGAGAAGCTTGTCGCCGGCCGCTTACTTAAGCGTGCTTATCAATCTCGCCGTTCCCCCCATCTCTCTCCCTCGTTGCTGCCTTTCCAGTCAATCGTTCCTTGCGCCTTCATTATGCAAACATTCTCGTCTAGCCAACGTCGCGAGAACCTTTCAATCCTTTCTTTTATGTGCGCGTGTTCTTCGCTGCTCTGGGCTGAGCCTAAGCGACGGGCGTGTTTCCGACACCGAGCTCGTGATTTGAATAGCAGAGTGGGCCGCTCTGATTGTAGCGAGTGCTTCCTAAATGGAAGAGCGAATTACTCAGCTGTCTTGTTGGCGTATCTCTCGTTAGCACTGCTTTTCCTGCTGCTGTTTTTTCTCTTTATTATTCATAGTAGGATCTTGTTTAAGTCGAACTAATTTCGAGAGCCCGGTGAGATTCAGACCAGCCACAGTTTTTTCAGTGGTGTGTCTTTTGGCAACAAGTCGAGAGACTGCATATGTGTGTTTGAATGCTTGACCTAATTAAGAGAGTCCTGCGAGCGCTTTGCGCATATGCTAAGCGAGTACGGCGTGCTTATAATGTGGGGTGCACGTTTGTTTTCCTGTTTCTGCCTTTGAGAGTAGTATACGTGTCACACGTACACGTTTTCAACATACACAATCGTGTTCCCGTGCCTACGGCAAGAGTTTTTTTTTTTTTTTAAAGTGGGGCGTACTATAAAGAATCGGGCTGTTGTATGACGTGTGTCGTTGCTCAAAATAATTCAGGAAAAACTACAAATAACGGGGCCATACGTGACATATTCAGTGTGCGTTCACATTGAGGAGAAGTCTACTTCCACTTCTTCTTCAAGTGTTTGATGACGATAATTGCAGAACACCTTATGGTGCCCGGGCTCTCTTTACAGGCATCGACTGGCGTGA